GTAATAATTTGCTTGGACGTGTGCCATGACCGCTTTTAATTGATAATTTGCCAATTACTAATCACGTTACAGCGGAATCTCGATAATCATTAACAAAAAATAAAAATTCATTATAATAGTGATTTGAAAGTAATTGTTTTAGGTCTAGCAAAGGCCACGAAAAAGGCTGCACGTAAAAATGAAGGCTTTAAATAATAAATTAAGGGGCATAAATTAAACACTGTTTGTATACATTAGGATAAACATATCTAGGTGAGTATTTTAACCAACCAGGAGTAGTTAACATAACAAAGGTCCAATTTGTAAACGGTTTGTCATCCGGAAACACTGGTCTGATCTACAGAGGAAAATTCACGAACACAAATCAAAACTAGTTGACTAAAATTGGAGAATCCGAAAAAAAGTGAACAAACACTGAACAAACAAAAACAAAATCAAACCAACGAAAAAAGAAAATGCCAGAGTCTGTGTAAGATTTCACGACTGATATTTCTGAACCAGAAAGTCTAAAAGTGGGCAAAAGGTGTTCAATTTGAAGTTTCGTGTTGCTAGGGCTCAGCAATTCTAGAGAGAAGGAGCGTAATGTTTCTCCATATAAAAACACTTATTTTTTAGCTCCTCACCGTTCCTTAAATCCTTCACCGATTCTTTATGTGCACAACGGAAAATCAGTTACCTTAAGTTTGTAAGACCTCCCGGGAAGCAGGTTTGTTATTTTCTGACGATTAACATCCTGCAAAATAATAAAAACACATCAAATTATGACAAATCGGCCCTGTCGTGACGACTGCTCGAGCACATGGTGCTGACAAGCTAGTACAGCAAATTAAGAGACCTCCTAAGAAGCGTCCATTTTAGAGTTGCTCGAGGCGCAGCCAAGAACAACTGTAACTTCTTGAGTGCTCTCCAAATCTTCCAAGTGCATCATAACTCGATGATGCACTGGAAAAAAAAAAAAACATGAATCAACTGTTTTATAACATTTTCAATGGAAATGGCGAAATGAAGTTAACTTTGCTACGCCATGATCCACGCTTACATATGCTAAGCTCCATAGTGCTGGCTTGGAAGCTATTTAGTATTCTGGTCATCATACGCAACCATTTCTTCTTGTTGTTTTTTTTGTGTCTGTTTGTAACTCTGTGTAATATTTAGATTTAGCCAAGCCTAAAAACGGAGCTCCTGATTGCAATAACGACGATAAAGGAAAAAGAGATTTATTTTCTTCTTGGATCAGAAACTCAAAAAGTGATCAATTGTGAGCATGTAATTGTTCAGCGTTTGGTTCTGCTATTTTTTTTCCAGTTAAATTTTAACAAACTATACCTAACAAGCCTAACCAAAATTGTAGAAATTACGTACGCAATATATCAGGAACTTTCCAAGAGACGATTGTACAAGGAATATGTTAGAAGAAAAGTTAACAACGCGCCAGGGGTTAATTTGCGCCGAAATTTTCCCTTTGCGAGTACTCCTTCCTTCTCCCCCAGAGAAATAACGCGACTTGAGCCCGCGACTCAATCGGTAGACCAGTAACTGGTCAGCAAACCTCGATGGGCTCTAAACCTGAGCCCGCGATATAGTCACCTAATACTGGTCAGCGGATAGCTTGTTGTGACAGCTGTCAATTAAGAATAGCGTGGGCGCCCAAAATCAAAGATGTAGCTTTAGTAACGGTACTCCTCTCTTAGCTTTCAAGGTATTGGCGTACGGGTACGTACGTACGGACAGTCATGTGACAACCAAAATTTTTCAGATCGATGGGTTACCAAACTTTCTAAGGTATGGGGCTTTGCTTGCGCGCCTTCGGCGCGCAGGAGCTCCGCTATTAATCTCGTCACATACATGACTGAGTAGAAAAAGCACTGTAAGTGAACTATTCTTCCATTTGTACATTTTGGTAAATTAAACAGGAAAGTTCAACTCTCTCGATATCGGAGTTGATTGCAAGGGAATCACAAACTCACTTGAGGTATACAAAACATGGTATTCCAAACAAGGAAGGAATACGGTAACGGGCAGGATCTTCAAAAATGGCCGACTGACCAGAGTTGATCTAATTCAGTAGGCCGACAGGTTCTCTTAATTCTCATAAACTAGCCGGTTCCAACTTCGCCCTTAAATGTCAAGAGGTATAATAAGCCAGAGCTCATTTTACGTACAGCGGAATGAGAGAGGTTGAGTTTATCCTCTTTGGACCATTTCACAAGGTACATAAACGGTGTGATGTATGGGTAAACTGGAGGTTTCCACGTCACAATCACTGTAAAGCGATAGTCCTGTTGCGCTGTCATAGGTCCCTCGAGTGTCACATTACTGACCATTCTATCCTCTAATGGGGTGTCAGGAGGGTGAGCTGTACAGAGTCAAAGATCAAACATGAAAGAATAAACTGAGGGTAATCAATATGATATATACAGAGTATTGTAGCGCCTTTCTAGAGGGCTCTGACTGCACTGTCAAGATGTGCACACTGTGAGTTTGCCCGCATGTTATTTAGGCAAAGAATGGCTTTATAAAATAATTTACTTTCGCATAGAAAGAATTACCACTGGATTTTAACTTGAATAAACAATTCACAGCTTTGCAGTCATACTTAACGGGCTCTCTGAAGGCCTTCTTCTAGAAAGGAAGATGCTCTACTACTAACGACCTTCCTCCGCCGTCATCATTCAACAGTGATGAAACGATATCTGAGTTTGTACTTGTGGCTCCGAACTATCATAAAAGGATTGCTTGACCACTACAATAAAGTTGCATACTTACACTTATAACATTCGCTTGCAGGAATTAGACAACCTGAAAGATGCACAGAAATACATCATACCATTAAATTTGTCTTGCTGAGTAATATCTTTAGAAATTGATTTTGTAATGAAAACTAATGATAAAAGTCACGGTGTTGTGACCAATAGCGATGACATGGTAAGCAACAACGGAGGAGTGACCATCTTGCGTAAGAGCTTTGAAATGCTCGGTCTTCCTGTCATGCAATCGTCGTTTGCTTTTACCGACATAGAAGAATCGCAGTCCCAACAACTAGCTTTGTATAACATCAAATGCGAAATCCTCGCAACTAGAAAGTAAGACTTGCATTGTAAAATTAAAGAAATGCTATTGATCAGTGACGCTTAAAACCCTCACTTAACGAACACGTTGGCAGTGAGAAGCTGTTTCTTTAATTTCTACCGGAAGTATCAACCACCTGAGGTATCAATTTTGTTACTTATTTTTAGTTTGTCACCAGTGCCTCGCTTTATTTTTAAATCTCTCTATATATTTTTTTCATAGTTATAACCGTCACTTCTGAAAATGTTCAATAAAATATAATTATGTAAAATAAGTGATAAAATTACTCATAAAGTTAAAAAGGGACTTAAAACAATTAAACAATTTTCAAAAGCTTTTAAAGAACTGATCTAAACAAAAATTGAATCACACTGTTTGTTCAGTGTTGGTTTCAGTTATTTGATAACAACAACATTTCGGAAATAAGAGTCACATTTGGTCTGGCACGTTATTAAAATTTTAGAGCTATATGTCCTACAGAGCAATATGATAGGAAGCCGAATGATATTGCCCAAAGCTTTATAGTTAGACTAGTAGGTCTATATCAAATATTTCCCAGCTGGTCACATTCAAATGCTACCTGTAGGCTAAATTTGGTGCTTTTAACCAAAATCGCACAATTCGTCCACCATATTGCGGCACTACTGAAAATGTTTTGGAAATAATTGTTTGAAGGTCTAGCAAAGTTGAGGGCCGCGGAAAAGGCAGCACATAAAAATTAAGACTTTAATCCATAAACAAAAAATGCATAAGCTAAATACTGTTCTTGTTTATAAGTAAAGGTTTTTTAAAACAATTTGAAGTAAAAACTACCGGTAAAAACGCGCGA